ACATCTGATATATCTTTTTACGGTAACCAAAGGATGGCAAATCTGTTAAACAACATTAACGTCATAACTTATTGAGATGTATCCTCGCAGAATTTTAATGCGAGGGCAGGTATACACTTCCAGACTGTCGCCAAAGAAAAAGAGATAACGCCAGTCATTTGGCGACGATATATTTCACTACTACTTAATAGCTTTGACAATATGCTATTCATCTGCACTTGTGTACTAACCGAGGTAACTCAGGTCCACAAAAGGAATGACTACCGGTTTTGTCAAAGGTTCCAAACAGCAAGTCAGCTATATTTACAATTTATGTAACCGATTTGATCACGAATTTTCAATGAAAAGAGATAACTTAATCTAGTCTTAGCACGACGGAATTTTTTATTTTATTTATTTGCTTCTTCAGAAAAAAAGTTGTTAAAGAAATTATCTACTGAAGTCTGCCCATTTCGTGATTGTAATTGAAGTTTGAAGACTTGCTTTTGGCTCATTGAAGTCTATTTCCGTGCGTGTGGTCTTTGTTTATCAGATATTTCAAACATCTTAAAGCAAAAACATGCATTTCAATGCGTAACGCTGAATAACTTAGAATAAAAAATATATTTTTCAAGATCAATTCTGTTTTCATTTTGTTATTAATATAAAAATCTTATTTCTAAGACAATAGTTTCTTTGTTTCTTTTCTTTAAATTAACGTGCGGCAATTAAATAGGATTACAAATTGCTGATTTAAATTATACTTTAAAATCGCTATGCAAACTTAGCTTCATTTTAAGGGTTCTAAAGTACTTTTATGCAGCATTAATGAAACTCGTTTTAATTGTACATGACATAAAATGCTGCAATTCAAATGCAGTTAATCTTTTAAGCCGATTTCTTTAATGTTAAGAAATAAGAAAATACCGGAAACTTTTTGTCTGGTCTGCCCTATTGCTTTTAACTGGATTTAAGAGGGTTTGGAACCACGAAACCATTAAAAAAATTCCATTTTATTTCATTTTATTAAAGAATATCTCATTCTGTGACAGATCTCACTAATACGAGCTTTCTCCTTCGATATAGAATTGAAGTTATAAAGCTAATAAATTTTAAAAAACTGTCAAGTTTAACAATAACAATGTAGGGTAACAATCTAAAAATACTTTTTTTTTACCATTGAAGAATTTCTTGACCCGCGTATTTTACTTTAAATTGATTGATTTGAAAGCCTAAAGGATATAACACTGTATGATATTTAGAGCACACATTTTTTAGATATATCTCTTTAATTTGTCTTCTACAAATTAAAAAAATGTTTATCATCATATGAATTATTGAGTTTCAAAATATTTTGTAGTTGAAATATTCTAATTTTATTATTTTAATTTTTAACTTGAAAAAAAGAACATCTATATGAAAAATAATGTTAAAAACGTAAACTAGAAAATTTTGCTTATTCAAAAGCAGTATTAAAGTCAAATGTCTCTTTATTTTAATATACGTGTTTTGGTTCGATATTTTTTTTGCGCTTTCAAGTTTTATTTTTTTTAAAGAAAATTCGTATTCGTTTATTCAAAATGCAATTTGTTAAAGAAAGTTTCAGCCAAAAATTTGTCAAATCAGGACCCGATTCCTCTTAATATTAGCTAGACTTCAAGCTTAAACAAAACAAATTTTTGTTAAATCTAAAATTTAAATTTTATATTGAAATTTTTATTAAATATTTATTTCGAAACATTTATATTAAGTATTTGAAAACTTATTTTCTTAGTATTCAAGTTATACCTAATACAATAAACCTAATGTTTCCTGATTCTCATGCATAATAATTTAATTTAAAAAAATATATTGTTTTCTTAAGGAGATTAGATAAAAATATTTATTTAATTATTGAAATTCTTTTTTTTGTAGGAGTGATTGTCACGAATTCTGAGGGGTTTCAGAACAAATATTATCTGAAATTCTATAATAAATACAATTTAACCAAAACAAAAATCGAAAGAAAATTAATTCAAAATTAAATATTTTTATCAACTTAATTACAAAAGACAAAATCCTTAGCATATAATTATAAAGGTTTTTTTTTTTCTAAATCATATTCATTTTTCATTTCCTTTTGGCAAATTTCATAAATTTTTAAATTTATAAAAATTTTTTTGGGTAATAAAGTTATGCAAGAGATTAATCATAATTTGTTTAGTTTAGTCTTACTTTTATATTTTGGAAAAAAAATATTTTATGACAGGCTATTTTCGATTAAATATTTTTTTACGTTATGATTAAATATTTTTTTATTATATTCAGACATAATTGTTTCAGTCACTAAGTAAACATTTTAATATTATATATTAATTAAAGATATTTTTTATTGCGTTGATGGAATTGAAATAATTATTTAGTTAATATTTAGTTTTAAAAAGCGAAATTTCTTCTCGTTGTGTTTTTAATTCTAATTCAAAAGTTAACAATAAATTCGTATATTATGTTCTATCCATTTTTGCACATTTTCAATTAATTATTCAATAGAATATGTTTATTCCTTTTTATAATTATTTAATATCGTTACACAATTAAATTTTATAAATTGAATATATAAATTTGATACATACAGTTGTTATGTCTATCCCTTGCATAAACTTAATTTTCTTAACATTAAAAATAGAATATATCACAATGAGAAAAAACTATAGTCAAAACTAATAGCATATAATAAAATTTACTGTTTGTGTCTATAAAAGGAACACCAAAAAAAGCTAGGTAATTTTTATTGAAGCACTTTGGCAATGATTTCGGTAAAATTAACTATAAAATTAGGCTTTATAATATGTGATAAAATTTGGTTATTTATCATGATACTTTAGAACGTGGCATAAAAACCATTTACTCGGTTAAATTTACTTCTCTGTTTCGTGTCTTTACTAAATGTGTGGTAATAATTGTGAAAACCAAAATTTCCGGTAAATAGTTATCACACGAAAGGAAAAATTATCAAATGGATAGTTTAAATATCATATATCTTTGTTTTTAATGCCAGAAATGGCAAATCGTTTTTCTGAATTTTTTTTTCTCTAAATCAGAAATGTTCTTACTATAGAGTACAGTAATTTCACCAGAATTTTTTTTCAGTTTATGACATATTATATTTTTTTATACTATGTATATGATATAGATGTTATATTATGCATTATGGTTAAATATTTGCTATTATATTTAGATATATATTAATGGAACATTAGTGGTTAAGATTAAATATTTGCAGCAACCACATTTAAAGTTTGCGAGAATAACGAAACGAAACAAGTTACGAAACTGCAATGCGAAAGTATACAAGTCGCTGAATGTAGTTTAACGGCATTAAAAGGATTTGTTAGGATTAAGTATGCTTACAGTTTGCAATCAGCACAGCGCAATGAAAGGATTTGATAAGGTTGGAATGAATTAGCTATTTTGTTTATTCAAAAAATGTAGGGCCTTAATATTCTGTAAATGCTCCGTACCATCAATTTCGAAAAAAGTTATTTAGTGAAACATTTCTTTTTAATTACTTCTATTTTTTTTTATGAAATCCTCTGTATGGTTTGAAATATTTTTGTTAATTTACTCAGAAAATTGATTAAAAAAATAATAAAATAATATATTTTAACAAATAATAAAGTAAAAAATCCGTTATCGTAAATGGGCTCTAATGATGCTAGTTAGCTGCTTAGAAGAAAAATATTGCTAAGAACAATTATGAAAATAAAATTTCACATAAGCAATTTCCATGCTTTATTTTTTTAGTGTTTTATCTGTTCCACCAGTGCAAAAAAATGCATGGCAAAATACATTTGAGTAAAATCGGTTGATAGTTTCTGAGAAAACGAATTTTAAACATGCAACTCGATTATTCGTTTTAAATTAGTTTTCTCATGAACTATTCAACCGATTTTGCTCAAATTTTGTAACGCAAGACTCTATGCTTTCTAATGATGCAAAAAAAATGCATACCTTACAATTAAAAAATTTTCGACTATTATTAAATAAAATAGTAACACATTATAAATATTTACTGAAAATAAGTTTTTGCGTGAAATTATCCTTAAATAATCGAAGATATGGCGAAATACACAAAATGTGAAGTTAAAAGTTTCAAAAAAGAAATTAAAAAGTAAAATTGAAGTCCAAACTTCAAAAAAGTAAAAAAGGGGTTCAAACTTTGGACCGCTCTCCTAACCAAACTATTGGGACCATATTTCCCAGATTGCGGCAACAATCTATATATTGGGGGTCAGAAACCTGAATCCGAAAAAAAAAAAGGTATGTTTATTCTGTGAAAGGTAGTTTTGGGTCTATTTTCGTAACTTAAAATATCGTTTGCACAAACTAATTAGCAGGAAGTCACCCCCTCGAATCATTAAGATTGAGACCTAGAACGTGAGGATTCGATTATTAGATCAAAAGTTTTTCGGGGTGGTCTGTTTTTTATTTTGCGCACTGTCCATCAGATGACTTCTTTTTGATAAATAATGGCTCGTCTTAATTTCTTAAACATAATGAGTACCGTAGAATTTTTCTATTTGATATAGAAACTAGTTCTACATAGCTGTAGCAATGTGTTGTGGTGTTTCTTTTAATTTTATTCAAATCACCATTTCCATCAGTATTAATGTTAATCGCGTTTTTCAAATCACTTATTTGAATAATCAATTGATTTTCATCAGTGTATTGAATCGATTTAAATTTTCTATCTGAATAATCTGTAAGACAAATAACGTAAATGAAATTATTCAGTGAATCAAAATTATTTTGACGATGATATTTGTTCAATTTTTGTCCCATGAAAGAAAAAGCAAGTAGTATGTATGTAAGAAATATAAAAATAAGCGTGAATTTGGCAAAGAATTGTGTTTTAATTGTTTTAACTGTAAATAACCGAGTTTTAATTAAACCCTTAATAACTAAATTGTAATTAACGAATAAATGGCATTTTCAAAAGTTCTAGTACATAGAAATATTAAAAAATTTAAAAAATACTGTACCTCTCACATCTCCTTTTTGTAGAATGTCAGCATCTTTTTCGTTGTGTCCAGAATATTCTTTAAATACATTAGAGATTTTTTCTAAAAAGAAAAAAATAGCATTAATACTTTCTTTTAAAATTAATTAGCTTGAGTGTTGTTCGATTTTAAAATAATTTAACTTTTTTAAAATTTTAAATATTCGAAATTTTTTTCTATAAATCGGAATTCATAGTTACATTGAAACGAACAGCAACTTTCGAGCTGGTTCACAAAATTAATTGAATAAATGCACCAATTATCTTAATCCGAGCTTTTGGCACCACAATATTTCTTACGTTCCTTCAACACGTGAGGAGTTTCCAGCGTTCCACGCTTATCAATTGGCGACCTGGACTATTTGAATACGAAATTCTCAATAACACATAGATGATATCACCACAAGGCTGCTTAACTCATATGACTAGTATTTTTCATCTCTCTCGATAGATGACGCCACTATTTAAACTAATTAAACCATATTCCACTGTGCACTTGATAAACCACAAGCCTAACTCCAAAGTCCATTACTCAGCAATAATCCAAACATAATCTAACTTAGTACTAACAACTGTCCAGTAGGGTTCCAGTTTTACAGTTTTGAAACCATGCAAGCTGTAAATGGATATAAAACCTTATGGTTTTGCATTCATGGTCTTTTAAAACTACTGGTTGTAAATAGTTTAAAACCCGTAATGGTAAAGAAATGCTGCTAACCGTAAATTTTAAAAGTAATTGTATGCATGGACGGCTTTCGGTTCCGTAATTTTAGAATGAAAGTTTATACCATTGTAGAATATCTGTGAATCGACGAATAATGATTTGAAATCACGTCACAAATTTTAGGAATCTCCCAAATCGAAAACAAAATAAACTACTTGCAGGGCCAAATGTAAAAATACTTTTTGAGCTGTTCTCATGTCCATGAATTAAAGATAATGCCAGCTCCGGCAAATAAAAGTTCAGAAACAAACGTGACTTATTCATAGTGTTAATTTATTAAACAAACGATAAAGAACGAAACGATTACCATTCATAAAAACTACGATTTTTCTTCTTTACACATCCTTTACAAAAACTTAATATTACATAGTTGGTACGATGTTTAACATATTATATGTCTCCCATGGTAAAGAAATACAGTCCGTACAACGCCTTGCTTACGTAAATAGAAAATGAGAAATAACTAATTATGATGTATCATTGTATTTAATATTTAAGAAACATCACATATTAAACAAGAATTAACTTTAAACTTATCAACGTAATCAATATTTCATTAATTTAAACTGCACAAAATTTATTTCATGTCTTGCAGACACGAAATTTGCTTCATGAACTCTATAAACCAACTTTCTCAATAAACCAATTCTTGAATTTAAACTCGTAAAGATTTTTATGTAAAAAAGAGGTAATTATTGATAACAATTGCAAATTAAACTTAACAAATTAATTAACAAATTAAACTTTCATTTTATAGGACAGCGAGAAAAAAAGCAAGATTAAAAGATTTTTATTATCTTTAAATAATTTCAATATATATTAACATAAATAACCTTATTTTTTAAGATTCACTTAATATGAATGCAGAACTACCATAAGCAACTTCTTAAAGACTTTTGGTAGCATTAAAGGTAGCTATGTATTGAACTGCAATAAATTTCCTCTTTTACCATAAATTAACTTCAACGCTTAAGTTCGAGTAAGTTTAATTAGAATTTCTAGGGTTTGCCTGAAGCGAAGATTCCAAGAGATTTTCTAAAGATTGTTTGCTGCAGACCTCTCTTTTGTTGCAGGGGCAAGAGCAAAAGAATGACGTCACAAACTGTACATGTAAGAGGTCTCCTAGGACTAAGAGTACATTGACTAAATCTTAGTCCGTGGAAGTATTTAATTGAACTCGAAAATTTACTAGTACCTACGGGATAACTACATTTTACTTTAACTAACTAAACTAGCACGGTCCTTTATTTGTTTTATTTGCATTGTATACTTGCTCAATCTCTTTCTTGAAATTAATTACAACTGTATGAAGTTTTTGTTTCACTATTGGTATCAATGTAAAGGCTTTTAGAGTTAATAAGAGCTGAATTGATACCAAATAAATATAGTTCAGTGTCACAGTAAGCACATTTTAAAACAGTCTATTAATAAAAGAATATTTTAACATTTGCTAACTAAGGAAATATTCATGAAAATATTTGAACGAGTCAATACGTTCTAGATTAATTCTATAATGTTTAGAAAAATGGATTTCATAAATTAAATAGGAAAGGTTAGTTTCATCTGCGTGATAACTAATTCAACTTTAACTAACTAACTCATTTATACTTTGCATCTCATGTTCCATATACTTTGCATTTTATGGTCATTTGCGTTTCATATTCAAGCTTGTTTTCAAATTTGTGCGTTTACAATTCCATGCTTATGACCACTCACACGCTTGATATTTCAATTCCTTTGTTTCCAACGCGGAAAAGAAAGATTTTATTTGTCAACGTTCAAGAGAATGTAAGAGGATATATATATATATTAAAAATTTCAGGATGAAATTTTTTTACAGGGGTGCATGACGAAATGATGGAACAAACTGAGCTATAAATTCATATCAATAAATAAAGTGTACTATATGATGACTAATTATACTATAGTTCCATAATAATTTTTCCTTGTTATTATTATTCATCAAAAAATGAGTGTTAGTCGTACTGTTACGCTTTTAAGTATAATCTATAGGAGTGTGCACGCAGAGCAAAATAAAGCATTAATGGCAGTTATGAAAGACATAATATTGAAAGAAAGCGTAAAAGACGTACAGTTGTACATAACTTAACTGTTGATATTGAAGAGCACGATATCAGTTCCAAGATCGAAAAATGTAGTTTTTGTGCTGCTTACTACTGGGCAAAAGAAGAAAAAATTCGTCTGGGATATGTACTAAAATTTGCCATCATGTGAAAATCAAGCCGCCAGATTTAGCGATCGTTCCTGATTTGCTAAAAACAATATTTACTATGAGAGAATTCAATCGAGACAAGAAATTATCAGCATCATATTCATGAATATAATGCTGCATTTGCTTTAACATCATTTGAGGCACACGCAAAGTCAACTCCTGGAAACAGGACCACATTGTTCACACAGTCAGATTTATCATATAGTTTCTCAGTTGTGCGTGAATGATGAAAACGAAGCTGGATATGGGCAGTGTTTTGAGATGATTGAGGCTACTGACAGACGCAAGAATGGCAACAGTGGATGACTACGATCTACGACGAAACAATTGGATAATTTAATAAGGAAAATCGATCCTTTTGTGGCATCATATCATCAAATGCATAAATTAAAGCAACAGAATCCTTAAACAAACGCCAATTTTATCTTTATGGAAGATTCCAATTCTGGCTTCAGATGACGAAACTTCAAAAGAAGAGGTAGAAGCAATATTTATGACGGAAAATGGCGAAACACCACATAATCGGGATTTTTTTTGAAGGAGATACTTGCAAAACCATCTCTAGGCCGGGATAGCCTGGTCGGTAGGGAGCTGGGACCATGTCCGAGAGTTCGAACTCCGCCAGCCGAAGACTCCCCGTGTAGTAAAGTGACTGAGGCACGTTAAATCTGTCGAATCGCAAAAGTCTTCCATGTTCCCATAACAAATTAATACCTCTGGGGGTACTGAATTGGAGAACGATCGTTCTCTGATCCAGGTCAAAATTACGATCTGTGGATGAATGAATGGATGTATGAATGGGTCCGCCCTGTAAACGAGTACGACGTATGGTGTGGCAGAAGTCGAATTCTTGGCCATAGATGGCGCCACTGTAAAACAAGAAGCGCACACTCTGCCTTAAATTTGCTCGATTTTACCAAGCAGGCTTGCCCGTGTGGCAAGTGACATTAGAAACAACAACAACAAACCATTTCTTCTATGAATCATTGTACTGTTCAGCCGGTTTATCCTCGATTTGTTAGAGTGGATTATGTAGATTGTGTTTTTAGAGAAGTTCATAGTCTTTAATAATAATAGCTTTTTTCAATCATAATTAATGTTTCTTTCCTACAGGTTTTTCCATTTCATGTCATTTATTTCGATTTAATTTCCAAATAGTTAAGTCATTTGACAGTTTTGTAGTGATAGCTCAATTTTGACTATTTGACAAAAAAGTTCTACAGCTTTTGCATAAACTAAAAAAGAAAAGAATTGAGCAAAGTGAATTTTGAAATTTAGCTGCATTTCTAAACTAACTCTGCCTCTAAACTAACTATAAATTAACAAAGTCATTCTTGTTCGCGGTATTTATGTCCTCATTATTTCAGTATTCTTGTTTTTTTTTCTCAATTGGTGTTAAAATAAAGGTTTTTAGCATCATTAAACACTGAGTTAATATTAAAAAATAATGTTTAATTATTACATTTTGTCAATTTAATAATAATTTAAAATATTCATTTCAAAATTTTCAAAAGTTTATTCCAATTTTTTTTAGAAATTGAAAAAAAAAAATATAAAACTTAAAATGATACATTCATAAAAAAGCACAGATCAACATTTTGAAACAATATAGTATTAAAATTCACTAAAAACACATACGTGTACTAGCATTATTTACGTGTTAAACCGAAATTATTTTCTTAGACTTGACTATATTGAATTCAAATCGCCTTAAATATTAAAATGAACATTAAATACTTCAAGTTTTAGGAAATAAGGAATGAAGGCTTTAAAGAAAAGGCACCGATTTTCTGGTGAAATGTGTTTTAAGAGATTACAACATTAAATAGCGAAGAAAATTTAAAAGGCTCTTCTATGAAAATAACTACTAATGTATTCTTAGAAAACACATAATATGAGAGATGTTTCACCGCTGTATGAATAATTATTTTTATTTTTAAACATTCCTAAATGAATAATGATTCTGAGGAAATAATTCTGATGGAAATCTAAAATTTGTAACTAGAAGTCAAAATAGAAACACTAATTTTCTATTTTGATAAAAACAATCTTATATCTAAGTAAAAAGAGAGCTAGTGATTTTCAATTCGAATAGAAAAAATCTAAT